AGCCAAATTCTTACCTAATCTTTGAACACTGATGTATTGAACGGAGGAGACTAGAATTACAAACTTTGCATGGATAATGAAACAGTGTGTCAAAATATAAAAAGTTTATTTATGATGGCAAAAGTAGGTCTAATATCAGGAAGTTTTCTCTCTCTATTTCCTGGTCATATCGATAGTTTGTATTTAATAGCAAGCAAAAAATTAAAAGTATTGCCAGGATATTACTGGCCCCGCTTGTCTGGCTTAGATGCAGGCAGCAATAAGGCATTTTTGGAATGTTTTCTATTATTCGTCAAACTTGGCGGCGACCATCATTGGACGCTTTGAAGTGCCTGAGTTACAACTCCTTCTGTGTCCTTCCTCCATGCCTGTTCCATTTGAAAGAAGTGTATTTAAAGTTGTCTCCTAGTTACGTTGATTTGCATACACTCTTGTCCGATTGCATTTCTCATTAAACTCCCCATGCATGACATAAAGAATCAGTAGCACTTTAATGACTAACTATTAAAGTAAAACTCTGCATAAGCTTCCGTAGCTCCAGCTACTTCATCAGATGCAAGTAGCTGTAGCTGAGCAGAGTTTTACTTTAATAGTTAGTCATTAAAGTGCTACTGATTCTTTAAATATGTATTCTACCTGACTGACTCGGCTACCCACCACTATATTCATGCATAACATGTACTGATGTGGAATAACATTTCTATTTGAGCACTGGCTCCCTTTTTGTGTGCCATATGGGCAAATCCACAAGTGTAAGGCGGTTCTGGCTCATTCAAAGTAACATAAAAGAATAAAATTCAAAGTCCTACTTTGCGGTCCCAACATGTTTTCTGTTAGTGCTACTGTTCGATAAATACCGGTAAACATATCGATTAATTTCTGTCCTTCACACCCATTCCCTGTTGGAAAGAAGCCACAAATATTTCCGTGGTGGTTGGGGGAGGAAAGTTGCCCCCCCCATCCCCACCCCCAGCAGGATAATTAACTGTCTTAAATGTTGATTAGAGACATGCCCATCAGAGACACTGAATGTAAGTTTCCAGGTAACCTTTTCATGTAGTTTTCAATGTGGGTAATTTATACGTTGTATGTACGTTTTCACCCATCAATAATCCCACTTTGTGTCCCTTTTTAGGAGTTAACTTCCACGCACCTACTACAATCAGCACGAAACGCAAGACCATAGCTTAATACTTACAGGGAAGTGGATGATCGTGCTGTTTTGGAGAATGTAGTTTTGGTGAAACTGTGCGAGGCTTGACAGAAG